TGGAGGGGAAAGAGAGTCGGTTGTTAAATATTTACCAGCTGTCCCCCAATGCAAGGGAAAAAGTTATGGATTTAGAGTTAGAAAACTTAGGTTTGAATAACAGCTCTGTGTGATCTTGAGCAAGCCACCTTTCTGAGTCTCAGTTTCCTCATTTGTAAAATGATGGAGTTGGACTGGACTATGTAGGATCATAGATTTAGAGGACATTATTCCAACCCCCTCATTTTTTCTTTTATTTATTTAGTATTTTATTTTCCCCAGTTACATGTAAAAACAATTTTTAACATTCATTTTTAAAACTTTGAGTTCTAAATTTTCTCCTTTCCTCTCTCCCCCTCTCCGCCCTCCCCTCATTGAGAAGGCAAGCAATTCAATATAGGTTATATGTGTGTAGTCATACAAAACATTTCCATAATAGTCATGTAGTGAAAGAAAACATAAACAAAACAAAAAAAAACTCAAGAAAAATAAAAAAAGTTTAATCTGTATTCAGACACCATCAGTTCTTTCTCTGGGGATGGATGGCATTTTTCATCCTAAGTCCTTCAGAATCGTCTTGGATCATTGTATTGCTGAGAAGAGCTAAGTTATTCACAGTTAATCACCTTACAATATTGCTGTTACTTTGTACACAGTACATTTCACTTTCCAACTCCCTCATTTTACAGAAGAGTAAACTGAGGCCCATGGAGCTAGAGTGTGCTGCACAGGTAATAAATTTAAGAGGTGGGATTTGAACCCAGATTATCTGCCTCCAGAGTCAACTCTGTAAGGCCCCTGCCAGCTTTGAATCTTGATTCCTTTAGAAGGTGATGGCAGGAAGCTGAAAAGTGCCTGCAGTCTCTGGGCCTGACTGCTTTCTGTGTGGCTCTCTTGAATCTATTTAGATGACTATTTAGTGGAGGGAATCCTGTCCCTTCCTCCCTGCTATCCCAGCATCCTTCAGTTTCAATGCAGATTCCTCAAGGGCGGGGTGGATGCTTACTGTTGTGTGCCAATAACGTCCTATTTATTTGTTTAATTCTGAGACACTTCCCCTTGTATGAACACTGAATTTAAGTTCTGAAGACCTTGGGTCAAAGCCTGACCCTGCCTGACCTTGGACAAGTCCCTCTGCCTCTCTCTGCCTCATTTTCCTTCTATGTAAAATGAGGGAGTGGAAGCAGATGATCACTAAAGTCCCTTAAGGGTCTGGATCTAGTATGCATGAATAACTGGATTTAAACCCACAGTTCTCTGACTCCAGAGACAAGGCTTATTACAGCGTAACCCATGACCTACACCCATCCAACGCAGGCAAGATGTAGAGCAAGGGTGGTAAAACTTCGGCCTCAAGGCCACATGTGGCCCTCTAGGTCCGTTTGACTGAATCCAAACTTCACAGGATGTAAAGGATTGCATGGGAGGAGGGAAGTCAGCCAAATGATGGTCAATAAGAAGGATTTCTTTTTTTTTTTAAGAAGAATTTATAAAGTCCTGTTGTGTGCCTGTCACCGTATGAGGTGCTAAGGGTACAGAGACAGCAGTGAATCGCTACCTGCCCTGAAGAGCTTCCATTTAATAGGGAGAAGCAACAAAGAAGTTCATACAAATTAATGCAAGGCATTTGGGAGGAGGAGACCAGCAGCTGGCCGAGGGCAGGGAACCAGGTGAAAACCTCATGCAGGAGATGGTATTTGACCCAAGCTTTGAAGGAAGCTTGGGATTCTGAGAGCCAGAGGTGAGGATGGAACACATTCCAGGTATGGGCTCTGGTATGCTGGAGAAATTGAAAAAAAAAAAAAAAGGCCATTTTGGCAACTAGGTGGTGCCATAGCGAATAGAGTACCTGGCCTGGAGTCAGGAAGACTCATCTTTCTGAGTTCAAATCCTGCCTCAGATACTTACAAGTTATGTGACTCTGGGCAAGTCACTTCATCCTGTTTGCCTCAGTTTTCTCATCTGAAAAATGATCTGGAGAAGGAAATGGCAAACCACTCCCAATATCTTTGCCAAGAAAACCGTAAATGGGGTCATGAAGAGTTGGACACAACTTAAATGACTCAATAAAAATGAAGGATGGAATGGAAAGAAGAGAAACCAGTTAGGAATCTATTGCAACAGTCCAAAGGAGAGGAAATGAGAGCCTGAACCAGGGAGGTGGCCATGTGAATTGAGAGAAGACAAATGTGAGCAACATAAATCAACACTTATCCTACATATCTCTTGTTTGTGCCTTGTTATTTGAATACTGTCTCTCCCATTAGAATGTGAGTTTCTTGAAAGCAGCGGCTGTCTTTTGCCTTTCTTTGTATCCTTAGCACTCAGCACAGTCCCTGGCTAATTGTTATTGTTGTTCCGGTCTGGTTGACTCTTTATGACCCAATTTGGGGTTTTCTTGGCAAAGTTACTAGAGTGGTTTGCCATTTCCTTCTCCAGGTCATTTTTCAGATGAGGAAACTGAGGCAAAGAAGATTAAGTGACCTACCTAGAGTCACACAGCTAGTAAATGTCTGAGATCAGATCTGAAATCAGGAAGATGGGTCTCTCTGATGCCAGTCCTGATGATCCAGCACTAATAACCCACCTGACAAATAGTAGGTGCTTAATAAATGCTTGTTGACTTCCCTGATAATACACAATAGAGGTGCCTGATCTCCTTAGACTGTGAGCTCCATGGAGGCAGAGGTGATGTCTCAGCTAAACCTTGTATCTCTACTAACCTCCCCCAGAATTTGAACCCTGGTCCTCTGACCTCACAGCCCAGGTTCTTTCATCATCTGATTGTCTTCTGCACTCAAAGAGACTTCAAGGCTCAGATTCTTACAATCTAGCCAAAAGCTCCCTAATGTTCAGACTCCTCAAGAGTCTGACCAATATGACGTACGTTCTAATAAACTTTGTCTTTGGCTGAAAAAAAGGGACTTCAATATGATTACTATTATTGGAGAATTGAGTGTCTCATCTCTCATAATACTGGACAGCAGGGGGTTCATGGGGTCAGGGCTGGGAATCCCACCCAGATTCACAGAATTGGCACATTGGAAATAGAAGAGACCTTAGTTATTGTCTTGGTTAAGCCCTTCATGTTAGAGAGTAGGAAACAGAAAACCCCATCTGAGCTGCTCAAGCGCGCCTAGGTCAACTAAATAACAGAACCAAGACTCAAACCCAAGTCCTCTGCATCCAAATCCAAACTGCTTTCCACTGTGACAATGTGTCAGATAGCCAATTCACTCATTTGGGTGGTGAAGAAAGAAAGAAACAAAGAAAGAGAAAGAAAGAAAGAAAGAAAGAGAAAGAGAGAGAGAGAGAGAGAGAGAGAAAGAAAGAAAGAAAGAAAGAAAGAAAGAAAGAAAGAAAGAAAGAAAGAAAGAAAGAAAGAAAGAAAGAAAGAAAGAAAGAAAGAAAGGAAGGAAGAAAGAAAGAAAGAAAGAAAGAAAGGAAGGAAGGAAGGAAGGAAGGAAGGAAGGAAGGAAGGAAGGAAGGAAGGAAGGAAGGAAGGACAAAAGAAAGCACAAAAGGAAGGAAAGAAAGAAGGAAAGATGGGGGCACCTCAAAAAAGCCCCTGGCCCAAACTCTGACCCCTTCCAGGAGTGAGGGCTCTTGCTCCATCCATCCGCAGAAAGGGGATGTTCAGAGAACAGTTATTCAGAGAAGCCTGGGAAGACTTGTTTTAATTGATCACAGCCAGCATTTATGTAGTACTTCAAGATTTGCCAAGTGCTTTACATAGGTTAACTCATTTGAGCCTCACAATAATCCTGTGATGTATCACACTTTTGCAGATGAGGAAACTGAGGCTCCAAGAGTTGATTTGCCCAGCTCTCAAATCTCTGGCTCCAGGTCCTGCGTTCTTTTCACAGACTGAAGTGAATACAACCAGGAGAGAGCAGCTTATATAATGACTACAATATTTTGTAAAGGAAAACAGCTTTGAAAAACTTGGAAGGTGTAGCTGATGCCATAAACAACAACTCTGAAAGGCCAACAACAAACCAGATTCTTTTCCTTTTTCCAGAGAAGTCATCGGGATTTTGGACCTCAGAGGGCATCCAGTCTAACACTTTGATTTTTGAAAATGACTTGCCTAAGGTGTTTAAGAGGCCACATTTGAACTCAGGTCCTCTGACTCCTGAGCCCAGGTTCTTTCACTGCCACCAGAGATTGTAGATGTGGAATGAGACATACCTTTTGAGACATGGCCCGGTGAGCATAATGGTTTTTTTTTTTTGTACCTATTTATCAGAAGGAAGGGTTTTCATTTCGGACAAGAAGGACAGTAACACAAAACTTAAAAAGCTAAGAAAGCAACGTCAAGGGAACATTTTTAAAACACTCAGAAGAAAACAGAAAGAAGTTGAGTAGGAGACCCAGAAGCAAGGCAATATTGGTATTATCATGTTAACCGTAATAGATACTTCAAAATGAGGCAGCTAGGTGGCGCTGCAGTGGATAGAGCACTGAACCTAGAATCAGGAAGACTGATTTCATGAGTTCAAATCTGGCCTCAGATACTTACTAGCTGTGTGACCCTGGGCAAGTTCCTTAACTTTATCTGCCTCAGTTTCCTCATCAATAAAATGAGCTGGAGAAGGAATGCAAACCACTCCAGTATCTCTGCCAATAAAATCCCAAATGGGGTCATGGAGAGTCAGACACAACTGAAATGACTCAACAACAAATTCTGTGTGACCCGAGGCAAGTCATTTAACCCTGTTTGCCTCAGTTTCCTCATCTGTCAAATGACCTGGAGAAGAGAAATGGCAACAGTATCTTTGCTAAGAAAGCCCCAGCTGGGGTTTTGAAGAGTCAGACATGACTGAAGCAGCTGAACAACATACTTTAAAAAGCCAAGCTATGCATAACCGAGATTCTTGGTTTCCTATGTATATGACAAACCAGTTTTTTTCAGTCTCTACAACCCTGTAGCTTTCAGTAAAACCTTCCTAAAATATGAAATGTGAAAGGAAATAAATTCTAACGTTTTCCAAGCAGTTGTGCATAAGAAACAAAATGAGTTAATTTTCATAAAGAAACTTTATTGAATCCATAACATTTTTAGTATCATAAAGTCATTAAATGTAAATTTTTTTCACTAATCACTACTATTCTGGGAATATTTAAATAAGATAATACAGTTATTTAGCAGATATTCCCTATACCCCTTTGACAAGCTTTTCAACCCATACGGGTTCACATACCCTGGTATGTGGAAATGCTTGCATTTAAGTTCATAATTAAAAAAAAAGAAAACTGTTAAAAGATACAAAGGGGGAGTGAGTACCAGTTTATCATGTTTATTAACAATGTCCCCACTCCTTGTGTCCTGGAAGTGGTTCCCCGCCCACACAGCACGCCCCCCCCCAAGTTCTCCACAAGCACTTGGAAGACCGATCCACAGAACCTGTTCGGCACAGCCGGACAAAGCCCATCAATCAGTTCACAGGCCCATGTTGACGATGCTCTGTGAAGAAAAAAGGAGAGAGTAGTAGTAAGAGGAGAAAGAGACAGACCTGGAGAGACTGAGAGGGAGAAACACCAGGGGAATGGAGCCAGGGGTAGAGACAGACCTCCCCTTCCTGGTCTGGCATGGCCAATGGAGGCTCGGGAGCATGAGGTGGGGGTGACGAGAAATTGGAAGATGAGGCAGACAAGAAATGGGCAGAGAGGGAACTGTCGGATGTTGAGGTCAGAAGCCTTAACTCACCAGGATGGAATAGATCATTGTGCTCTTGTGAATAATAATAATGAGGGGCAGCTAGGTGGCGCAGTGAATAGAGCACCAGCCCTAGATTCAGGAGGATCTGAGTTCAAATGTGGCCTCAGACACATAACACTCACTAGCTGTGTGACCCTGGGCAAGTCACTTAACCCCAATTGCCTCACCAAAAAAATATTAACAATAATGAGAATAAAAACAATAGCTGATATTTATATAGTGCTTATTATGTGCTAGGCACTGTGCTAAGTAAGTGCTGTATAATTATTATCTCATGTGATCCTCACAACAGCCCCAGGAGATAGATGCTATTATTATCCTCATTTTACAGATGAGGAAACTGAGGTTAAGTGATTTGGCCGGAGTCATACATCTAGTGAGTGTCTGAGATCAAATTTGAACTTGGGTCTTCCTGACAAAACATTCTTCTAGGGGTTGGGGTTACAAAGACTGAGAGCCATTTCTCCTAGTTCTGTCCTTAGGAGCTGAGCAGTTGAGGGGCAAGGGACAGGCTGATGGAGAGGGAAGGATCTGTTAGTCACCTTTGCCTTGCATGGCCTGTCCTCTCCCTACCCTCATCTCAGGCAGCAGATAGAGGAGGGGGACCCTTTGCTCAATTGCAAAGAGCCAAAGTATTGCTTTGGGAGCAGAGTGAAGGAGAGAGGGACAGAACAGAGAACTTTATGCCGGGAATAAGATGGGGACTCACCTCCAGCTAGGAAAGAGCAGAGCCCCCAATGCTTAGCCCCCAATTAGCAAGGATGTGATGAGGTGAGGGATGTGAATCAAAGATGACAGAGAAAAGTCTAACAGAATGTAAGCTCTGTGGGGGCAAGGATTGCCTAACTTTTCTATTTCTATACCCTGTGTCTGGCATGGTAGCTGGCACACAGTAGGAGCTTAATAATTGATGAATTAATAGAAATACTCTCTGGATGCCAAAGGGACCCTGATACTAGGTCTAAAGGTGAAGGAAAGAGGTTCTTAGACTCCAGGAAAGTAGGGAAAATGCACTGGCAGATGACCTGGTCGGTCCCAACTGGTCCCTCTATGTCTCAATGATGGGTGGGGGCACCCCAAGTAGTTTTGTTTCCCAGCTCTTATGGTGATCTTAGGAGACTGGGAGGTAATGGAAAGGTCCATAGTGATAACCCAAAACTGAAAACGGAGAGATGAGAATAGGCTCTATTCCTCGGTGTAGGAGGGGAAGGTGGGGAGACAGGGAGACCCTCTGCCCCAAGGAGATTCCTAAGAAACTCAAGAGTCAGGGATAGTGACGGTACTTACTTTCCACAGAGCTGGTAAGTTGATGAAGAGTGTGTTGACCGAGGCCTAGAAGTTGAAGACAGCAAGAGTTAGCCCCCAGCTTTCCTCTTCCTTCATCCTCTGCTGCCTGACCTCCTAGCCTAGGACTCAGGGCCGTTTGCCCTCCTCTTGCCTCCCTTTCCCTTCCCTCCTTCCAGACTCCAAGCATTTGTGAGAAAGAGCTTACCCCAGAGTTCAAGGGTGTGACTCCTACCCCGCTGCCGCCAGCTCCTCCGTGATGAGCTCCCTGAGAGTAAAAGACAGACCACATTAGGATCCCTTCACCTCCTAGGGGCCCCAAACCTTTCCTAGAACACCCCTCTCCATTCAGGGGAAGCTGGAGCAGACAGAGCAGGAAGACTTTCCCCCATGGTCCAGTTGTATCGAGTCAGGCTGGTATTACTGGACAGGGTGGGGAAGGGCTTCTCTCAGAGCTAAGAAGAGAAGCCCCCAGCTCTCCCTCCTGCTATCTGATGTTCTTCCAAATTTAAAAATGTGTTCCAGGTAAAAGGCAGAAAGAAGACAGTGGTCAGATACCAGGACCCCAGAGTTGGTATCAAACCCAATTCAGCTATAAATATCCCGACCCCAAGACTAGCTCCATCTCTAACTCTAGCCTTATCCTTCTCCCCATTCCTATTCCAGATACTCTGGGTGCCTCCACTCGCTGATCCTGCTGCTGCGAAACCTTGCAACCCAATTCCAAATCTTTCCTAATCCCAGCCCTGTCCCTCAGTTTCTTAATCCTAAATTCTGCATCATTGCTGTCTCTCACCCAGAGCCCTGCCCTATCCACACCTCCACTCCTGGCCTCCTGCCTGCTGGCCGAAGCCAGGTCCTCACCCCAAGATGCTGTCACCACCTTGTTAATCCCAGTGACTGTCACCTACTAGAGAATGGGGAGGATGCAGGCATCCTGTGCCCCAGCCTTTCCCCAGCTGTTCCTCTGACATGCCAGATTCTTCTATCCCTTGTCCCCCAAACTAAGCCTTTTAAGCATTTCTGCTTTCCCCTCAGCACCAGCCACCATTCTCCCTCCCTTTCCCTAGGAAGCCCTCTCTGACTGACTTCTTCCAGATCTGGTCTTTCCTCCACTCTCGGTTCCCCGGGACACTTAACAGAATCCGTTTCTGTAGTTGTGTGATGTCTCACTTGTGTTTTCTGGCTCGCCCATTAGACCTTGCTAACTTCTCAACTAGATCAGCAGCTCCCTGAAGGCAGGGCCACAGCTCCCCCTACCTCCTTACCCCAACATCTAGCCCAGCTTCTGTCACCAGGCTGAGAGCTGGGGAAGGGGGAACAGGGAAAGTGACCGATGCAGGATAATCTTCAGGACTGGGGCTGCCTGATTTCCTTCAGCTCTCTCCCAGCTAGGCTTCTAATAGCACTGTCTCAATTTCTCCTTTGATCCCATCACACTCTACCTTGTATTCTTATTGGTAGAATGTAAGCTCCTTGAGGGCAGGTATTATATCATTTTTAAAACCTTTCTATCTATCACCAGTACTTTGTGTATAGTTGGCATTCAATAAATGGTTGTTGAAGTAAATGAGCTGGAGAGAGGACAATGGGAATCCACTTGGTTGTACAGTCTATGGGAGGCTGTGGGGAGGGGAGGGGAAGGGAGGTGGTAGAAGGGTAATCCCCTAGCCTTTCTACCTTTCACCAGAGGAAGCAGCCATGCCAATTCTCCCAACCTGTTCAATGTTTAACCTCTCCTTCCCTCAGCTGCCCCAGAACCCCAATTCCCACCCCCGCCTTGTTCACCTACATTCAGCAGCTGGTTGGCCTCCTTGCCGGCTTGGTTGACCCCTTGGTGGACATCCTCCTTGACCTTCTCCAGTTCTTTCCCAGCTTGCCCAGCAGCATGGTGGACCCCTTGGTTTACCTTCTCTATCTCCTTCTCTGCCTGCCCAGCAGCATGGTTGACCCCTTGGTTAAACTTGTCCACTTCTTTCCC